GTGAAAAAAAAAAACAAAACAAAACAAAACAAAACAAAACAAACAAACAAAACAAAACAAAAACAGTTATCGAGCATCATGCGAGCTTCACGAGAGGCCTACCCTCCAACCCAGTTGTGCTACACCCGGGACCCTAAGAGCCGCCCCTCTGCGGGCATACAAGACCAGCCATACCAACCTCCTCCAGGGTAAGCGGTGGGCAGAGGAAAGAAAGGAGGGGGCACAGGTGTTGAGACTTGAAACCCAAGAAATGATAATGCAAGAGAAATAGTCAATAGAGGGAAACATGCGCACGGTAGTAGAACCGCGAGTGAAAGCACAAGTTGTGGGAATATGAGGGCAAAAAGGGAAGGAAAATCAGGGGGAAGTTATGCACAAACATTGGGTGCAGGCTCGAAAGCAAGCTCGGCATGCGCGGACGCGCAACTTGACAAATACGCCGATCACGGCCGATCAGAATCGCTCAAGGGCGGGCAAACACTAACCCAAGCATCTCCGCTCGCAGACTGCATCTCAGATCGACACACCCTCCTTAGCCACTAGGCTTTCACACTCCCCCTCCATGCTCTAGGGTCCCAGCAGTCATTGGCCTTGTATACGAACTTAAGCTTTTGTCCCTTCCTTCGCCGTGCATGATGTCACCCCTACAGGCACCCGACTTCACGAACACGCACACAATGGTGACCCCTACGAATACGCGGTTACTGCCAAAATGGTCACCCAGATGCGTGGCCGCCTACGTACCACGTTCGCTTGGTGGAGCTCATGGTGCACTAGCAGTTTCATCCTCTCCGTCATTACCAAATGATATTAGATGCCATGGAAACTCGGGCCGCCACTGGCTTTTCACGATCGCAACCACGACGGCGCACGCCTACATGAAACATTCACGTGCACGACCATCCTCGAACTCACTGAGATTGGCGCGGCTGTGCAAATACCAGCGGTGCAACTGAGATGCATAAGCCCTCTCAACGTGGTCAAGCAGAAAGACAAGTGCTGCCTTATTCTGGATCTGCGTAAGGTGAACGACTCACTAATCGTCCCCAAGTTTAAATATGAGGGACTCAACCGGGTAGCGGACCTCACCCCCCAAGGAGATTGGATGTTCGCCATCGACTTGAAATCGGGCTATCACCATGTCGACATCCACCCGTCGTGCTGGACGTTCCTAGGCTTTGAATTCGATGGGCGCACGTATGCCTTCCGATCCTTGCCGTTCGGCCTTGCCACAGCTCCATTTGTCTTCATGCAGCTTATCAAGCTATTAGCGAGGTGATGGCGGGACTTCACGCGTGATACCCTACGTGGACGATATCCTCTTTCTGTGCCCAACCCAGGCACACGCTCTAGCTACATGCCAACGGGTCGTTATCGACCTCACAGCCGCAGGGCTCGTACTCAAACTCGAAGAAGTCCAAGCTAATACCAACACAGCACCTTCGGTTCCTTGGCTTAGAACTCGACACACAGGCCGACCGGTTTTCCATCGGTGACGAGCGGCAAACCACACTCAACGCCACCCTCCAAGCCCTACTGCGCGCAAGCGAAGCCCAGCAAAAAGTCCCAGTCCGACAGTTGGCCCGAGTTACAGGCATGTTGGCATCGATGGCCGTCGGACTAGGCACCACTACCCGAGCGTTCAGCCACGCCATGCTAGAAACTATCAACGATGCGCCGACGTGGACCAGCATGGTCCTCCTCTCCCCACCCGCCATCGAAGAGCTGAGATTCTGGATCCAAGAGTTCGACCGTTTCAACGGCGCCCCGTTTCACGTGCGGCACAGCTACGACACAGTCATCCACGTGGACGCAAGTGCCTTCAGCAGGGGTGCCACGCTGCACACATTCCCTGGAGCCGTGACGGGTGCCAGCACTGCAATGCCTGAAGCCCTTTACCCAACCTCCAGCACACGAAGAGAGATTGCCAGTGTGCTTTGGGCGCTACAGATGTACGTGCCCAGGATCCGGAACAAACACGTGCTAGTGCGGGTGCACAATCAAGGCGTGTTCTTCATCCTTCGCAAAGGAGGCTCCCGAAGCCCCGACCTCACTACCACATGCAAGGGCATCATCCAAACATGCATGGAGTTTGGGATTCGCGAAATCATCGAATGGAACCCACACGAATTGAACACTCGTGCAAACGAGCTCTCCAAGCTCCCATGGTCAGGCATGTCGGCCTTCCGCTCTAGGGGAAGCACCGTGGTATAGCGCGTGTAGTTGTCAACGAGCACTAGAAAGTAACACTCGCGACGCGGTCCAGGGACGGGGGCTGGGCCCCAGACGTCCAGGTGCAGGGTCTGGAGGGGTGCGGTGGCGGGACAAAGCGAGGAGGAGTGAGAAGCACGGTGCAGCCGGCCCTCGACGCAGAGGGTGCACGGCGGCGCAGGGGAGAGAGGCAGGGCATGAAGCGATGCAGGGAGACCTAGAACGAGACCGTGCTGAGACATGTGACGCAGACGCGGGAGTGCGAGGTGACCTAGATGGTGGTGCCACAGAAGCGACGGGTGGGTGAGCGACCGACACAAGCAAGCCGCCGCGACCTGGGTAGACGCAGGGCCCGGAGAGGACGTCCCCACCGGGGGGGAAGCAGTGTCCAGCGTAAAGTGGCCAGACACCGGGTTCCGGGGGAACGTCGCAAGGGGGGAACATGAGGCAGCATCGGTACAGATAGCGTACCGTTCATGACCAGGAAACCTAGTGGTGACACAGAGGCCCTGAAGACAGCCGACACCAACTAAGTTCCGGGAGAACGTGGGAATGTGCAGGCCTGTAAGGGAACCCGAGGGGACCACTGGACAGGGAAGGGTAGTGTAGTTGCGAGCAACGACAGGACCAGAAGAGGGGTCAGCTAGTGCGACAGTGGCAGGCATGGGAAGCAGCGTGAGTGTGGCATGGTCACGGAAGAAGCAGGCAGACGTACCGGAGTCAAGTGTGAAGGACAGCGAAGCAGTAGCGGCAGACGTAGGAGGAGCGAGGGTGGAGCCTAGACTAGACAAAGCAAACGGTCCTACGCCTGACGCAGCAAAGGTTTCTGTACTACACACACGTGCTATGCCTAGGCTACAGAATACAGGGTAATAAGATCGAGACACACTAGAAGCGTCAGCATACAGAGAATGCAAGGCAGAACTAATCTGATCCATGTCTAAGTCAAAAACAGGCACACCGTGGCGCAGCAGACTGGGCCAGACAGGGAGGTCCGAGGCCAGGCCGAAGCGGCGACGGAAGAGGTCGTCAAGGCGGCAGAAGCAACGGGTGGTCGGGTGCGGGCGGCGGCACACAGTGCCACCACCACGCCCTCCCTTGGGGCCGCGACGGCCCTGACGCTGTCGCTGCTGCTGCGGGAAGGCCATCTCTGCAGTCTCAATGGCAGGAGCAGCTGTAGCGACCGCGGCGGTAATGTCAGTGTACGTGCACTGGGAGGGAGTACAGCCCTGAAAGATAGGGACTGCGGCAACACCGCTCGACTGAGCGATAGTGCGCTGGCGAGTCTCTATCTCAGAAAGGGCAGCGAAAAAGCAGTCAGGGTGAGGTCACCAGGGTGCTGGCTAAGGAAGTGGTCGCGGGCAGTGGCTAAGCGGTCAGGCAGGGGCATGGCAATAAGGTACAGGGTAGCGCAGAACGACGGGGGAAAGGCAGTAAGCTGGGCAGTAGTGCTAGCAGCGCGGTAGCTAGTCTCTAGTGGTGGGTCAGCAGGGAGGGGATCAGGCACGGAGGGGCGGGGAAGCAAGCCATCAACATGCATAGCCAAGGAGTGCCCATCCTAGCGCTGACCTGTCACGTGCCGGCGAAGATCGACAAGCCAGGCGGCAAAGTCGATCACGTGCCCCTCCGCGTCCAGACGTAGCATGGCGTCCGCCACCGTGCAACCGCAGCGGCACCGGGACACAACAGCACATGGACAGCGGCACAGCGGCACAGGGACACAGGTATGCAGGTTCACGGTGATACAGCGACGTGGCGGCAGGGGCAGCCTGCGGGCGCGGAAGGGGCCGAGGTGCACGAGGGGCTGGCCAGGCGGGCGAGAGGCTGGGCAGGTGCTCTGGAGGGGCCGGCTAGGCGGTAGGGGCCGGCTAGGCGCGAGGGGCAGGCTGGGTGAGAGGGGCCGGCTAGGCGAGTGAGGGACCGGCGGCGGCGCGAGAAGGGGCCGGCTAAGCGCGAGGGGCCAGCTGGGCGCAAAGGGCTGGCTGGGCGCGAGGGGCCGGCTGGGCGCGAGGGGCCGGCTGAGCACGAGGGGCCGGCGACGGCGCGCGGGGCCGGCGAGGGCTCGAGGGGCCGGCTACAGCGCGAGGGACCGGCTAGGCGCGAGGGGCCAGCGACGACGTGAGGGGCCGGCTACGGCGCGAGTGAGGGCCGGCTGGGCGTGAGGGGCCGGCTGGGCACGAGGGGGCGGCTGGGCGTGAGGGGCCGGTTGGGCGCGGGGGATCGGTGACGGCGCGAGGGGCCGGCTAGGGCGCGAGCGAGGGGCCGGCTAGGCGCGAGGGGCCAGCGACGGCGCAAGGGGCTGGCGACGGCGCAAGGAGCCGGCTACGGCGCGAGGAAGGGCTGGCTAGGCGCGAGGTGGGGCCGGCTAGGGCGCGATAGGGGCCGGCGAGGCGCGGTAGGCTAGGGCGCGAGGTGGGGCCGGCTAGGGCGCGATAGGGGCCGGCAAGGCGCAGTAGGCTAGGGCGCGGGGCGGAAGCGGGCGGGGGGGACCTAACCTACTCATGATCAGGCCTGTCGTTATCAGGGTATTTTACCCTGATTCCCTGATTTCACAGGGTATTTTTTTGGCCAACCCTTAATTTTCAGGGTTGGGCTTTTTTTAACCCTAACCTCTTCAGGGTTGTATGTCTGTGAACACTGAGAATTTCAGGGTTTGCGTTATCCCAACACTGAGTTTTCAGGGAGTAACGCGTACGAACCCTGAGTGCGACATCCATGTGGCTCACAATGCGGAAATTTAGGCGAAGTCCCCAATCTCCAGAGACATTCCCCCCCACACGCAACAACCTACAAAAATTGGTGAAGTCCTCAAACATTCCCTCACACACCAAGCAACCCACAAAAATCGGCTAAGTCATGTGTCGTACAGACATCCCCCCTACACACTAACAACAACCCACAAAAATTAGCTAAGTCTATGAAAATGTAACGGTCAAGATCGATTGCGATCGTTTCGACATACTTAAACCGTTAGATGGTCACATTGATCAACGTCCAAGATCTCCCAGCCGGGGCGCTGCTAGGGCGCGAATTTTCTCCGACCGCCCTATTACCCAGCTTCCCCCCTCAATCCACTTCGATTCCTCCCTCCCCTCCATTTTCGCTCCCCCCACTCCCCCTCCGTTTCGTTTCCCCCCTCCCCTCCATTTCGATTCCCCCATCTCCCCTCCGTTTCGCCCCTCGCATCTTGGTTTTGATTCCCTCCCCCTTTCTTCCTTGGTTTCGACTCCCCCTCCCCTCCGTTTCGATCCCCCCTTCCCCTCCGTTTCGATCCCCCCTTCCCCTCCGTTTCGATCCCCCCTTCCCCTCCGTTTCGATCCCCCCTTCCCCTCCGTTTCGATCCCCCCTTCCCCTCCGTTTTGATCCCCCCTTCCCCTCCGTTTCGATCCCCCCTTCCCCTCCGTTTCGCTTCTCCCATTCCTCGACTGTATTTCGAACTTCCCCCACCCCCTAACCCCCACTTTTTCCCTCCCCGTTTCGCTTCCTCTTCCCCTATGTTTCCATCCTCCCCCTTCCCCTCCGTTTCGCTCTCCCCCTCCCCTCGGTTTGATTCCCTCCCCTTTTTCCCCCCATTTTTTATTCCCCCCTCGTGTTGAAGGCAACCCTGAACGCGCTCGGTGAACCCTGGGATTTTCAGGGTTCCAGATTTCTGAACCCTTACAAATCAGGGTAGGCAATTTTTGAAACCTGAGCCCTCAGGGTAAACGTTTTTTTTTATTCGACAGCTCAGGGGGGGTTTTTTTGAAACGTCAGCCCTGCTCATGATACCATGTTAGAATACTAGAATGAGATAGAAACAAGAGAGAACAAGCAAGATATAGGGTTGGGTTGTACTTTCTAAGAACATACACCTATTCTAGCCTATAACTTCTGCATGCAAATGTATTTATAAGTTGACATTCTCTTGTACCGAACCTGATGAATCAGCCTTGAAACGAAAGAACCAGGGCCAACCAGTAAGAAAACCACTACCAAAAACTGAATTTCAGGGTATTTTGTGAGATCGACACTGATCAATCAGCGTGGCCTAAAACGAATCTGACTACTGTTACAGTAGTCATGGTGAAGAAATTCCAACAAGTTGCACATGTTAGCGGTAGGTTTCGCATATCATGTAGGGCTGGTTTCAGTCTCCCCCGACCATCACAATGCAAAACAACTGAACGTTTTCCAGACCTGTTTAGGAAGAAATCCATGCCTTATGGCACGGCACAGGACGGCTTGGCGCGACATGGCGCATGATGGCATGAGACGGCACAGGATGGCATGAGAATGGAATGACAGTATTACGCTCTCATAGCAGCTTCTTGCGCTCAAAGAAGCGTTTGAGGTGCCACAGCTGCAGCGATGCGATGGTGCCACAGACCAGGAGCGATGCCACACTGAGCCACGCCACGTAGGAGTGGGTTGCCTCTGTCTTCATGCGCAGTTCTAGCTCCCTAAGGGGGGTAGGAGGGGACACGGGGAGAGGAGAGCTTTGAGACAAAAGAGGAGCGAGGCCACACTGAGCCATGCCACGTAGGAGTGGGTGGTTTCCGTCTTTGTGTGGTGCTCCAGCCTAAGTGGGAAAATTCGCGTTTCGCGTAAATTCGCTAACGAATTTACGCTGGCGTAAATTCGCTCGAACGCCAGGGCCCTGTTTTGAATTCGTTGGGAAATTCGTTCTGCCCGGGCAGGAAAAAAATGCCCGGGCAGGCCCAAAAAAAAAGTTCCCAGGTAGGGGGGGCGTGGGGGGTTTCAGGGCAACTCTTTTTAGCAGAAAATTATTATTGCTTCTCAAAGTTTATGGCAATAGCATGTTCTAGAGTTTGGGGGGTATCCTTTGCATTAACGGCCCTGCAGCAACCTACAGCAAGATGATGAACCATACTCATGAGGTAAGCTAATGTCTATGCTTAAACTAGATCTTCTAGCTATGACGCGGAGTGAGAAGCTAGATCTACTCTACGTCTGGTAGAGTAGCGTGTGAGATGCGTGCGTGATATGGTTGCGTAAGTTGGGTGGTGGATGGGTTGGGTTCTCTAGATGTGGTGGGGTTTGATGCGGTTGGGAGCGTGGGAGGGGTTGGAGCATTTTTGGAGGTTCAAAAGTTAGAATCGCGAATTGGCGAGGCCACGGATGGCTTCGCCAAGTCGCTGCGAATCGAGTTGGGAAATTCGTGTTTTTTTGTCCGGGCTGCCCCAAAATTTTTCCCCCAGCGTTTCGCGAATTTCAGGTAAATTCGCGTTTGCGAATTTACGCTTACGAATTTACGCAAAACGCTGGGGGACCCCAACGAATTTGCCCACTTAGGCTCCAGCTACCTGCAAAGGGGTTGGTGGGAGGAAAGGGGCCAGGGAACGGGAGGATGACAAGCGTTTAAGATGGTTGCACAGTGCACACACAGGGAGCGAGGTCACGCTGAGCCACGTCTCATGGGAATGCGCTCAGATGTCTGTTTTTATCTGCGTGATAGGAGTCTAGTTTTGAGGCACCTCATAACGAGGCCACGCCACGTCCCATGGGAAAGAGCTTCCTCTGTTTTTATCCACGGCTCCAACGTCATAAGGGGGAGGGGGGGAGGGGGCGGGGGAAGGAGCGAAAAGGGAGAGGGGCTCAACTTCTTAGGTCCTCAGGATGGTGGCAAGCAAACACAAGGAACAAGGCCATGCTGGGCCACGCTGACGATTTTAGGCGCCTGGAAAAATAGCAAACACAAGGAACAGGGCCATGCTGGGCCACGCTGACGATTTTAGGCACCTGGAAAAATAGCAAACACAAGGAACAGGGCCACGCTAAGCCATGCTGAGCCGCGCGCCGTAGGATTGAGTGGTCTCCATCACATGTAGACTCAATACCTTCTGAGTCGACTCACAAGTCGTCTCAGTCGCAAGTAAGAATTCCTGTTTGCCTGAGGCTCACTCGAGATAGAAATGACACGGACAAGCCTTTTTCTCACTTCTCCCTTGACGATTCCTCCCCCCTTCACCTCACCTCTCCCCTGGAAGACGCTCATCTCATCTCGTCATCACCTTGTCTATCCCACAAACGGGAGACGAGGCGACATGGAGAGAGAATGCCCATCCCCTCTCTTCCGCTCGCTCACCTCTCGGAGAAGAAGCTCATCTCCTTGTCCGTCAGATCCTCCCTCCACCTTGCAAGCCTCAAGGAACAGACTCATCCCCACCTGGAGGTGAGAGTTCCCCCTTCCCCCCTCTCACCTCTCGTGGAAGAAGCTCATCTCCTTTCCTGCGTGACCTTGTCGATCATGGGCTTCCAGGCGCAGGAGGGTGGAGGTGCGATGGCAGGCAGCAATCCCCTGCGCTTCCTTCACCTTACTCACCTCTCCTGGGTGGAAGACAACACACCCGTCGTCGCCTGTGCGACCTTGTCATTCATGCCCGCCCTCCAGACTCAGGAACCTGGAGAGGTGCGATTGCAGCATCAAGTGACCCCGTGCAATCCCGTACCCTTCCTTCCCATTCCCCCTCCAATACCCCCTTCCTCACCTCTCGTGGAAGAAGCTCATCTCCTGCGTCACCTTGTCAATCATATCCTCCAGGTTTTGTAGCTCCAAGTCAAAGTGCTGCCAGGGGGTAAGACGAGGAATGCAGTGAACAGTGGGGGTGGGGGGGGGGGGGTTGGAGGGGGGGTAACGATCAGGTTTTGTAGCTCCAAGTCAAAGTGCTGCAGGGGTATTGCAAGGAGGGGAACGCAGGGGCGAGTAAGGGGTAACGATCAGACTATGTTCTCCAAGGGGAACAACGAGCCCAGGTGATCCACTCCAGGGGGGTTGCAACAAGGGGAATGCACGAGCACACGAGGTGACATTTGAGTCGACTCAAGAGTCAAGTCCAGGTGAAGCAGCCCAGGGGGTTTTGCAACGAGGGGAATGCACGAGCACAAAGCGCAGGAGGCAGAGTGGTAGCCATGGTAACTGAATACAATGTAGTTATAAAAAGGACACATAGGAAACATACTAGACATATGGAACATATATATGTGTACAATCTACTTTCAATGCATGCCGTTTTAATATGTGTACAATATATTTACACATGGGGCAACCACACCAGCTCCCTTACTACTTAAACTATTACTGAAAAAAAAAAAAAAAAAAAAAAAAAAAAAAAAAAACGCAATGGCAATTACCACCCACATCGATCTTGTGGTGAGGGGTCACCCCACACCACTCCCATCAAACCTAAGCCACTCACATCGAGCCTCTCCTTAGCAGCGTGGCTGGCGGCCTTCTTGGAGCTGCCAGTGGTCCACATGATGTCGATCGTGTACGCCCTCTAGCCCACCCCTTGGTACCTGCCGCTGCTGGTGATGGCTCCTTCCCTGCCTCTCCCTGCTGCTCTCTACCATCCACCACCCACCCATGCCCATGCCACTCACATCGAGCCGCTCCTTCTTGGCGGCGTGGCTGACGGCCTTGGTGGAGCTGCCAGTGGTCCACGTGATGTCGATCTTGTGCGCGCGCTTGGCCTCGTGGTGCCCCTCGTGCGGCAGCCAGAAGCACACGGAGAACTCGCCAGACTCGTCCGCCGTGAACCCAAAGTGCCCCTCCGCCACGTCGTGCTGCCAGTGCAGCTGCTGCCCCGAGGGGTCGGTTACCTGCTCGGGAGGTGACAGGGTGAAGGGAGCACGAGCCAATACGTCAAGAACACGGGTTTGGTGTCCTCTTGACTCCCCTTCCCGTCCCTTGCCGCTCGTGGTGCTGCCCCTCCTAGTGCCCCTCCTGGCGCCCCTCATGCGGCAGCCAGAAGCACATGGAGAACTCGCCCGAGGGGTCCGTGACCTGTTGAGGAGAGGAAGAGGTAGAGGGGTAATGGGATCAAGAGAAACGGCGTCTCTCCGCCACGCCGCGCTGCCAATGCAGCTGCTGGCCCGAGGGGTCTGTGGCCTGATGGTTGTGAGGAGTAAACGGGGGGGAAACAACGGGCGAAAAGGAACATGGGGATAAGCGCCCCTCTGCCACGCCGTGCTGGCAGTGCAGCTGCGGACATGGATAAGGGAGTGTTGAGATGATAAGTTTTACACGGGGTGAAAGGAAGATTGCATGAAACATCACTCTGGGACCTGACCCATCCTTTCCTCACCTCATCATTTACTCTCGCTCCTGGCCGACCACCAAGACACCTGACCATTTTAACGCCTGACCGACCATTTTAACGCCTGACCGACCAGGAAACCTGATAGACCATTTAAACATCTTACCGACCATTTAACCAACCGACCGACCAATCAGATCACTTGCCTGAGCGTTGACTTTAAAAGGCTCCCCTTGAGCATCGTTGACCGCCACGTAGGACCCCGCTACAAGCACACCCTCGCGAATCTCCTCGTCGAAGCACTTGGGATCGGTCGAGATATCGAATCGCACGGTGTATGCGACGGCTGGCGACGTCGCACACGCGCATGCGACGACCAGCAGGAGCGCGAGCGTAAACGGCGACATTGAGCGCGATTAAAGAGAGATGACCAAGCGTGTTATAATAAACCGACTTCTATAGATGGCACGTCAGCAAAATTTATGAGTCGGGATGAAACCCTGAAGAACCACTATAAACTAAATTAAGGAGTTAGCGTCCGAGTGATGTGGACGACCGCATAGTTCAATAACTGTCTCTTTTTCCAGACAAAATTGCACACAAAGACTTATATATTCGTCGAATAACGTAGCTGACAATCAGCTCTACGGCGTTCTGTCAGTCTCTGGCGTAGCCTAGGCTAGGAGGTGAGTAATCCAGCGCTGATCACGGAAATCGTTCTGATCACATGGCTCTTGTGCGCTGGGCATGCCGAAAATGACATTATCGCGGACATTACCTACCGACCAACTGTCATTTTTCTCACAGCACGAAAGTGTACAGATCCAACTGCGTGTATTTTACCCTATACGAGCTTCTCAAAGCAAATGTTGGAAATGTTGGACACTGGTGGTGCATATTGGTATGATATTACTAAGGTAGTAATATGAATGTGTTGTAACATATACAACGACTGGACAAGTGGAAGGACGTGAATATGCAGGGAATCCTTCAAAATATAGCTTATATATTGCTTCATTAGATATTTTATGCTCCATCATATTTGTTATTACACTACATGAGCTTTGCACTATGAACACCTATTATTGCATTCATTTTTTTCATGAACGAGTTACAGAATCAAAGCATTCTATCCCTCTCTAACACAAACACCTTCCAAATAATGCATGTTAATACATAAGCCACTACAATCCCCATTCTCTCTCCCAACCCTCTCAGCTATGGCGGCTTGATTGACAAGAACACATGAGTATCTTTCCACTCCAACAATATTGTAAACACAAAAGCAATGCTTCCACTTCAGTCTCCCTCTCTCCTAAACCAAGCGGTGCCAATATGCTGGCACGGTGCCGATGGATTATCTGTGGCAAATCAAACAGCCAGGAGGTTGGACGAAGCATCACTCTGAAAGAACTCAGCTGGAAGTGCTGCTGTGGCCAGGCTCCTACCAACCAGATGTGATGGAATTTGATGGCTAATCTCAAACAGTGAGCCACAACAAGATGCTTGCCGATAGGACGACACACATGTGGCAATAATTTCTTCCATTCATCCCTTCAACACCGCATGCCTCCGCCCATGCCATCCATTCCTCCGCCCATGCTCTCCCCAGGACTCACGGCTGCCTGTGGTCCCGGAGAGAATGGCCAGGACCGCCCATGTTCCCTCCGGGTCCACCCATACCCCCTCCCATGCTGCCCAGAGGACCGCCCATTCCCCCTCCCATCCCAGGCCCGCCCTGTCCAGGTGCTGCCTGCGACCCCAGAGCAGACGAACCTGAGCCGTCCATACCTTTGCCGCCCACTCCCTCACCGCCCTTACCTCCTCCGCCCATCCCGCCGCCTGTTAACCCACCGCCCATTCCCCCACTGCCCATCCCTCCGCCCATCCCAGGTCCACCCTGTACGGGTGCTGCCTGCGACCCTGGAGCAAACGAGCCCGAGCCACGCCCTCCCATTCCCATGCCTCCGCCCGTTTCCCCACTCCCCATTCCACCCATTCCGCTGTTAGAAATGCATGCTACCAGCAGCTACGCCAACAGCAGCCAGGGAAACGCAGCTGCGGGAAATTCCAAGGGAAGCTGGAATTTGCAGCGCGTGGGTCAACAAGAAAGGAGGAAGCTGCTGGGGGAGGTGCGCAGTGGCAGCAGCTTTGATAATTGCAGCCGGGTTCGACCTGCGAGAGGTTGGATGTGAACAGTTGCCCAGCCCCAATTTCGGATTGGACAGAATGGTGCTGGAACAGTTGGCCGGATACAGCGCGAAATGGGATTTCGCACTGTATACTTGGTCTCATTTGTGAGCTGACACTTGGCAGCGTCACATGCAGCCGGGCGCAAGTTGGAATTGAGCCGGGATTGTGCTGGCACCAGCGCAATAGGCGCAACCAATGAATTGCATCTTTTGCCTTGCACTTATGTTTCCGCTAAATGCGTTAAACCGGTCAATTTAGCCGGGTAAATGCGTAGCTGAGTATAGGCCTCGAGCCATACGCGACTCGAGGCCACATTTGCTTTCTGGATTTTGCCTGTGTTTTCTTGTGTGTACTAGACCAGAGAGCACAAACCAGAGAAGCATTGACTTTGGACGCTATGTGAGAACCCTTGCTCTGTTTGTGAATATCTCGGCATGTAGTGAACCGATTTATGATATTCTCGGTGCGTTGCGCTCGAGCTTCCGAGCTGTCGCACGCAGCTGGGCTAGTTTATTTCTACATCCACTGCCGCCCATTCTGCCACCTCCCATTCCGCCACCTCCCATTTTGCCGCCGCCCATTCCGCCACCTCCCATTCCGCTGCCGCCCATTCCGCCGCCGCCAATCCCTCCGCCACCCATTTTCCCGCCGCCCTGTCCGGGTGCTGTGTACGACCTGGAGCAAACGATCCTGACCCGTCCATGCCTCCACCACTTCCCATTCGTCCACAGCCCACTACGCCGCCGCCCATTGCAGCGTCGCCCATTCCACCATCACCGATTCCACCGCCATCCATTCCACCTCCACCCATTCCGCCGCCGCCCATTCCGCCGCCACCCATGCCTCCGCCTCCCATTCCGCCCCCACCCGTTCCGCCACCGCCCATTCCCCCACCTCTCATTCCGCCGCCGCCCATTCCGCCATCGCCCATTCCGCCGCCGCCCATTCTGCCGCCGCCCATTCCGCTGCCTCCCATTTCGCCGCCTCCCGTTCCGCCTCCACCCATTCTGTCGCTGCCCATTCCGCCGCCGCCCATTCCTCCACCTCCCATTCCGCCGCCACCCATTCCGCCACCTCCCATTCCACCGCCACCCATTCCGCCGCTGCCCATGCCGCTTCCGCCCATTCCACCGCTTTAATTTTGCTACTGTTGGCCATTCGAGTGTCTGCCTTGCGCCTTTCCGCAGATCATTCCGCCCAACTTGTCCGCGCGGAGCCCCGAGGAGAAGCGAAAGGCAAACGTGGCATGGAGAGACGAGAAGAGCACGAGAGAGAGGAGGAGAAGGCAGGTGCTCAGGCTACGTCAACGATCGTGGCTCAGCGAGAGTGTTGATCCCTGCGCCATTTTGCCGGGCTACTGAAGATACAGCAAAAAACTCAAAATAAAGAGAAGAGGTCTAGTTGCCGCGGAGGGTTCTAGTACAAAGTCGCGTGTTAGGGGGATGATCTGTCGTGGCACTGGGATAGCCCTGTCAAACCTCTTCTCTCTCTAGGAAGGGTACTAGGGAGGCTTTCCCTAGGGAAGGTGGATATATGGAGCCTAACTCTTCCTAGGACATCCCTTCTTGTCCTAGTGGTTAGGATTGGTGACTTTATAACATGATCCGTGTGTTATCTTCCTAGTAACCTCAGCCTGGAGGGTGAGGAGTGCTGAAGGGAAATGTTGAATGGAATGCGGATTGGGTTCGCCGCATTTGTACCCTCATGGCGATTCGCGAACTCTTCAGTTCGCATTACTAAAAGGTATCGTGATTCTTTCAAGGCAGTTGTATCAGAATGAGAATGAATGACTAGAGTGATGCAAACGAGTTGGTTTTGTCTAAGGTGTTGTACCTTCTAAGAGTACGCACCTATCTAGCCTATAAGACATATACTAAATATATGTAACACACCCTCTAGGTTAGATGAGGGGCAGTGCTTGGTAAGAGACACACAGCTCAGGGTGGCACTGCTAGTCCAACCTCTGAGGCAGGGGTCCGAAGACCGGTCAGCAAGAGTACAAACTAAACAAGAGCAATCCAGAGCGGCACTACTAGTCCAGCCATTGGGACAAGGGCAACAAGGCCAGTCAAGATAATATAAAAATCGTACACAATCAAGGTCCTAGCAAGTGAGAAGCTACAGGAACTAGGCCAAGCTGTACACAGTGTCGTAGATGATAGTTAGACGCAAACGCCTTCATAAAGATATCAGCTGTGTTGGCACCTGAGGCCAAGTGTACTACACAGGCCTAGCGGTGCTGCTGCAGCTCGCGCAGGAGGAAGTACCACAGCGGGATGTGCTTCGCTCTGCCCTCTTGTCGAGGCTCCTGACACAGGAGGATCATGGCCCTGTTGTCAACGTATAGGACTGGGGCAGAGCCAGGCCGCTCACCTAAGTCAGTGAGCAAGAAGGTCAGCCAACTGAGCTCCTATGCCGCCATGGCACCGGCGTAGATATCAGCCTCACATCTAGACTAGGCAACAGACGACGAACGAGTGGACTGCCATGAGACGGCGCCTGCACCAAGGCTAAACTAGTAGCCCTCGGAGGACCTGAGTATCCCAGCGTCGTCTGCCCACAAAGCGTTTGTGTGCCATATAAGGACCATTGGCCAGTGTCCTCCTAGCGCTAGCTCCATGCTAGTAATTTCTAGATAACACAAAATCCTCTTCGAGGCCGACCAGTGCTGCGCTCGGTGTTTGCCTGTGGCCAGAAAGCGAGCCAAGATGCTGAGAGGGTATGCGAGATCTGGACGAGTGCAAGCCATCAGGTACATGAGGCAACCCAACAGCTCTGCGTAAGGACCACTAGGCTCTACAGAGTCCTCAGGGTTTGGAGCCGAGAGCCTGTGATCTACTGGCAGAGGAGTGGGCTGTGCAGAGGAGAACTGAAGGCTGAACCTCTGAAAAACATGACGCACCAAGTGTGACTGTGTCAGAGTGATGGTGCGCGCTGCTCTGTCCCTGGAGATCTGCAGGCCAAGGTAGCGGCGCAGCTCTCCTAGGTCAGTGCAGGTGTGTCTCCTCAGCAGCTCCGCCTTCATGGAGGCGAGTGCATCTCTGTCTGCTGTAGCAAAGACCAGGTCTGCTGTAGCAAAGACCAGGTCTGCTGTAGCAAAGACCAAGGATATAGAACGGGGTCTGGCCAGCACGAACGAAAAGCGAAGGGTCTGTAGACGACGGAATAACAGCAGGCAACGTGTCGTGCCACTCGCGTGGCACCTGCCGCAGGCCGTAAACCGGGTGCTGGAGGAGCCACTGGGTCCCCGGGGTGAAGGTGCCGGTGAAGCCTGGCGAGCGATGCAGGTAGACCTGCTCGTGCAGACTGCCCTGAAGAAAAGCTGTCGAGAACTCGAGAGAGTGCAGCTCGTAGTCCCGCTGTGCTACTACCTGTAGCAGCGCCCAAAGAGTAATCATCTTCGGGGTCGTGGCAAAGGTCTGAAAGAAGTCAACACCCTCACGCTGAATGAAGCCTCTAGCTATATAGCGCGCCTTGAACACCGACAGCTCTCCAGGAGAGTGCTTCACCTTGAAGAGCCACCGGCCATTGACTACGTTCACCAC